CTCCCTCCCTCATGCTGTAGCTTAACTGAGGTATAACTGACATACAATAAACTGCATACATTTAAAGTGAGTGACTGATAAGTTTTGATTATAACTTACTGAACCATCACCACAATCAAGATAAGGGACACTCATCACCCCACAGTGTCCTAGGGCTCCCTTGTTCTCCTTCCTCGCCTGCCGTTTGCAGACACACTCTCATTCCCAGGCAAACAGTGACCTGATTTCGGTGCCTACAGATTGGCCAGTATGTTGTAAAGTTTGTTTATAATGGGATCATACAGTCTCTTCTTCACCTAGCTTCTTCCACTCAGCAGGATTATTTGAGATTTATACATGTCCCTGCATGAATTAATAACCTTTTCCTTGCCATTGCTGAAGAAGGTTACATCGGGGGGGAAGTGTGTCACATCTTGGCTGTTTTCCATGTCAGGCTAGTCCATATAAACCGCTTACAGACATTTGTGTACAAGTCTCTTTGCATAGATGTATGCTTTTATTTCCCTTGGGTAAACTCCAAGGAGTCGCAGGGCTGGGTAGGTGTATGTAACTTTAAAAAAAAAACCAAGCTCCTTTTCACTAGCACTGTATGAGTTCGTGTTGCTTCACACACTCACCGACACTTGTTTCAGTCAGTCTTTATAATATGCTAGCGATTCTCACATGTAAGGTAACTACCACTAGGATGGACTCGTGACTTTTCTTACGTTTCCCTAATGGCTCCAGTTGTTAAGAAAACAAGCAGGCAAGCCACACACAGACCGGGAAAATTATTTGCAAAACGTGCCCATCAGAGAACTTGTATTTCAAATACAGTCATGCACCACATAAGAACAAGGGGGTGTTCTGAGATAGGTGCTGATAGGCGATTGCCTGTATAGCACGTTACTCTACAAAACAACACATGATTAAATCAAGCAGAGAAAATGGTGCTAGCAAGAGATGCAGTAAACACGAGATGTATGGGGCTGCTGCGGGAGTAACACGGCCTAGCGTTTTACAGCAAATGTTTTCATAAGTAGAAAGAGCACACTCTAAAATAATAATAAAAGTATGGTATAGTAAATACCTAACCAGTAACATAGTCCTTTATTATCACTAGCAAGTAGTGTGTACTGTATATAATTTATACTTTGGTGCTAGCGGAAGCGCAGTAGGTTTGTTTGCACCAGCATTAACCTCAGACACTTGAGTGACTTCTTTTGCCAGGACCTCATGATTGCTACGATGCCACTAGGTGGTAGGAACTTTTCAGCTCCATCATAATCTTAGGGGACCACCATCGTATATGTGGCCCATCGTTGACCAAAATGCTGTTATGCGATGCATGAGTGTATATAAAAACCTCTTATGACCCAATAGCAAGACGACAAGCGCCACGTCCTCGCTTACCAGGAGGCAGCAGATCAGGCATGTGATGAGCACCGAGAGCCCTGTCAGGCAGATGAGGATGACAGCCCAGAAGGGGAGGCCTGGGGACACAAGGGCTGAGCTGAGCCACCTTCCCCCAGGCCCGCAGGGACCTTGCTTTCTCCCCACGGTGCCTCAACAGTCCTTGACATGGGTTGGCCAACTCCTGTTATCCCCCACGTTCTTGGGTGCCTGGTCCTCTTAGGTGAGGCACGGCACCAAGACGGTCCCTCCCTGCCAGGGGCTGCCGCGAGGCTTACCCGGGTCCCCAGCCAGGGCGTCGTGTCTGCTGGGAGGATACCCTGGGAGCAAATAGAATGCAGAGGGCATGTGAGTGTGTGTTACTCTGTTTAATAAAACTCTTCAAACACACAGGAAAATAGAACAATATCATAAACACCCACCCCTGGTTTTAGTAATGTATATTTCATCCAATGAAAACAGGATTTTGTCCAGTGCATAAATTATTAACACTCGCCGCTCTCGCCTCGTCCCATAATTTTTCATGGAAATATTAAAGCAGACACCACGATGGCTCACTCCACTTGAGTCTGCATCTCTAAGAAATGAGGTGCAGTGGCCTACATAACTGAAGGCCATTATCACACTACAGGAGTCTGTGAAATTAAATCAAATTCGTACCTCTGGGCACGGAGGACTGAAAGTGGGCCGGACCATCCTATGATCATCAGGGGACAATGGTTCATCCCAGTTGGCAAGCACATGGGATCTCTCTAAATATGTAAATTCCCACTCACAATCTCTCTTCTGTGCCTGGAAACACATTCACCCCCTTCTCCTTTACCGAGTTGTTTTACACTCATTTTCCAGGATTCACCTACAATATAATTTTTTCTAGGAAGCCTTCTCTGATTACCACTCCCAAGTATGGATTGGTTTACATCAAATAACTTACTATTGACTATTGCCTATTCTTGTTATTTTCAATTGCAACATAAACTCCATGAGGGTAAGGACACATTGCACCATTGGGCGTGAGGGGAGGGTTGTAGGTCCCCTACTTCTACAACTTCTCCCTAGCCAACTTCTTAAGATGTGCTGTCCAATACAGAGCTGCCACAAGGGGCTTCTTAAATTACAATTTATTTTAATTAAATAAAATTTAAAACTCTGGTACCTCATCACATTACAAATCAGTACCAATAAAAATCAGTCCCATTAGCCATATGTCAGATACTCAATAGCTCTACATGGCTGATGTCCTGGACGGCACAGATAGAGAATGTTCCCATCAGTGCAGAAGTTCTATTGGATGGTACCGATCTACAGCAGTGCCGGGCAAACTACAGCCGTGGGCCAAATCAGGTCCACTGCCTGTTTCTATACAGCCTGTGAATCAGAAAACAGGTCCATCCCATCAAACCTGCTGAGGCTGGTTCACACACAGTTTGCTGCTGAAAGCCCTCACTGACCGCCTGGAAACAGGCTTTCAGTACAGAGAAGTACACAGAAGTCCAGAGCAGGGAAAGGACTAGCCTGAGGGCACAGAGCTGTCTAGGTGAAGGGCAAAGGCCTCCTATATCCCACTGGGTGTCCTTTCCTCTCCCTCAATAGTGGGTAAAGCCAGGGGACTGTGCTACCTCCTGCCAGCTTGAGAAAGTTCAATGTTGACTCATCCCCAGGCCTCCCAATTCCCAGACAAGTCCATCGGTGCAGAAGTTAGACCCCCACTCCCGCCCCAATGACTGGGAAGTCTTACCATCCACTAGGACACTGTCCCTGTCCAGGGTGAAGTTCTGCAGCTGGGTGCCATTCTGGGTCAGCTGCAGGAATTCCTCATAGACAGCGACTCTGTCCACTCTCAGTGCCAATGATGAGAAGTGGCACAGGGTGTCCACTCTGGTGCAGTTGCTGTGCGGGACAGACCTGGAAGCACATGGGATGCAGGGATATCAGAAAGTCTGCCCTGATTCTAGGTTCCCTGTTCTAGGTCCTGCCCAAGAAAACCTTCTGCAATGATGTAAACCATTGCCCAATGTAATCATTATTGGGCACCAGTTGTTATCGAGCACTTAAAATGCGACTGGTGCCTGTGAGTGAAGAACTGAATGTCTCATGTGATGTAATGAATAGGGAGAATACAGTAAAAATGGCTGAGATCAACTTTTCAAAAGTCCAGAAATGAACCAAAGGCTTGCAACAATCTGAGGAGTGATTAGTTAATAAAAACGGCTGAATCATGACAGAGGGAGTAGGCATCTTGGCATTATAACCTGCACTACTAGTCCCATTCTGCTCTCACAGTGTCCTCAGTAACTTTGAAAACCATCAATTTCAGAACCATGGTAACTGAAAAACAGCAGCCAAGTAGCCATAGTGGGTTTGGAGCTCCCCAAAAGATCCATCCCAATTTGTTTCTATTGGACCTGTCTAGCGACCCCTTGAAATATCCTCATTTTCAGGGCTTGCCTTTATTTGTCTCAGAGTTTGCTCAGCAAGGAAAGTCTATCCTCAGGGAACTTTCTAAAAATATTCAATGGTAACTGTTTTGCATTGTAGTTACATGAAACAATATTAGTTGAGGCAGGCAAGAGGTGAGCCAAAACTTAAAAGAAAAAATTGAAGGAATGAGATGTCCATAGTGGGTTTGAAAATCTCCAATGTATTTGAGAGGATCTAGAAGGCTGCAGGAGTGCAGGTCTGGGTGCATGCCCAGGAAAAACTTCAAAAGAGATTAATCACTTATCTCTACCTGAGAAGTTGGCTTACTATATTAAAAAAATTGGCTGACGTGATCCACCATAGTAATAGAATAAAGTACAAACACCACTTTATCTTAATACACACACAAAAGAATTTCACAAAATAGGTCTTCTTTGATTAAAAAAACCCCACACTCAACAACTTGGAGATTTTAAAAAGATTTTTAAAAGGAATCTTCTTAACCTGATAAAGAGTATCCAACACCCCCCCGCCCATAAACCCACAGCTAAAATTAGAGTCAATAGTAAAAGACAGAAAATTTTCCCCTAAGACCAGGAACAAGACAATGATATCTGCCCTCATCTCATATGTTAATCACATGGTATTAGAGGTTCTAAATTGAGCAATTAGGCATGAAAAAAAAAAAAAGGCATCCAGATTAGAAAAGAAGATGTAAAACCAGATGACATGATATTGTATATGGAACATTCTGAGAAACAAACACACACACACACAGTATGTGAATAATATCTCAATAGGCGTATAAAAAACTTGAACTGCCACGTGGGGTTAGTGGCTACACTACTGGACATCGGGATTAGACTACTGGATTTTAAATCATCTCATGATAGCCCCCATATATGGATTGTGGATTCAGGAGCTGATTTCTTAAGGCATGTTTTCTACAATCCATATCCCTTGGACCCCAGAACCAGGCACCTCCATCTCTGCTGAGACATTGTTTGTTTGTTTTTTAAGTAACAGCTCCATATTCCTAGGGCTTTCTTCTATAACAGCCAGGAGTGGAGAGATTGTAGCCTAGGGATACTCCTACCGAAAAAAGACAGTATATCCTTTATGTAAAAGAGAAGGTTACAGAGTCACTAGGTCCTGATTGCAAACTCACCTGAATGCTAAAACTTGACAGTCAGAAAAAGAACTCTGGATGCTGCTGTTTCGGAAAAGCTGGTTGAGCTGAAAGACAGGGTAAAGTTTCTTTCATCAGAATCCCAGGCTGGGTGGCCTTCGAGAATGTTCAGCCACTGAGCAGACTTCTCCATCTATTTTTTCTTGGCTTAACAGAGACTAGTGAAGGTATATGTACCAAAAAAAAGCAAAAAAAAAAAGCCTTGTTCCAGGGTGACTTAACTACATGACCCTGGGACAGCTAGTAAACTTCTCTGGGCCTATTTCTTCATTTGTAAAATGGGAATAAGAACCTTTATTCATGAATTGTTATGAAAGTCATCATCTGACTACCGGGCATCCATAGGTCATCCCTACATGGGAACAGAGTGGACACAACCCCATTCTCACCACATTCTCCATACTTCTCTTGTTCCGCTGGTGTGTGGCGGTGCCTGGCTGGGCTATGTCCTGGACATAGAGTAGGTTGGTGACAATGAAATTCAGCTGGAAGTGCTGAAGGCTGGGACTGCTTGTTGGTTTGTCTGTGGGCAGATGAACTGATGTTTCCACTTCTAGAATAAAAAGAAAGTATAAAATTCCCATATCTGGGGAAGGTTTTAACAAGAGGTCATTTAAGCCAGTCTACTTATTTCTGGTAATGTGATCCGAACAGGGGTAAGGTAGGCTCCAGCCTGGCCGAGCTTGGCTCAGCGGTTGAGCATCGACCTAGGATCCAGGAGATCGCAGGTTCAATTCCCGGTCAGGGCACATGCCTGGGTGACAGGCTTGATCCCCAGTGTAGGGCATGCAGGAGGCAGCCGATCAATGATGACTCTCTCATCATTGATGTTTCTATCTCTCTCTCCCCCTCTACTTTCCTCTTCCTGAAGTCAATAAAGATATATTTTTTTTTAAAAAAAGAAGTTTCACAGTGTATCATCAGAACCTATTTACTTGTATTAAATATTAGTTAAATGAATGAAAGAATAAATGAATCACAAATAGATGGCCTAAAAAGGCAACTCAGGGTCCTCCACATTTGAGGCTGGAAAAATTTACGTGTAAAAATAAGTATTCCTTTGAGGGTAACTGCTGCATGTTCTCTTCCTTACTCTTGCTGGATGACCCACTTCCATGAACATGGGTCACCAGCACAGGCCTCCAAAAAGTACCACATCTTCCTCCAGAGCCTACGTCCATTCCATTGCCACTGAGAAGACCCATCCTTCCTCAAAACCCCATCTCCACAACCATGTAACCAGTCCCCCATCTTGTACCTGTCACTTGAATATCTACCAAATGGTAGGTGGCGCCCAGCCAGTGGGATGAAGCATTGAGGGTCTTGTCTAGAAAGACTTGCTTCACCATGCTGAGGTCGATGCTGGAGGAGAACAGCTCCTGGATGGTGACTGACACAGAGCCCAACCTGAAGTCAGAGACCATGGGGATTCAGCCAGCGTCCAACACCAGCAGTGTCCCCCGAGCTCCTGCTTTATAGATTCAAAGAACTAGGAGAATCACCTGGCTGCCTCCTCCCTCAGGATAGAGAAGAAACCCTGACCAAGAAGGGAAGGTTTTAGGAGTTGGGAATAAGGGCAATAAGTAATACTCATAAACATCTACTAGGCACTCCTAAGAAGTGACTTACACATTCTCTCACCATCACAGTGGGGGAAGGTATTATTACAACTATCCTCATGTTGAACACAAAGAAACTGAAGTTTAGAAATATTCCAAGTTCAATATTAAATTCAATATTCAAAACAATGTGTCTCATGATCCTCCTCTCCAGTGTAGATGTCCTAGTTCTTCTACTCGTCCCTCAGAGACCTGGGTACAAACCCAGCTTGGACAGTTCTTGGGCTGTTCATTTTGCTGAGCCTCAGTTTTCCCATCTGAACAATGGGGACAATCATTGTATCCACATCATGGGGCTGTGATGAGAATTAAATGATATGATCATGCATGAGAGTGCTCGGCCAATGCTTCTAATCTCCTCAACTTACTTCAAATCAGTAACTAGGCAGGAGCGGAATACATCTCGTAGCTGGCTGCCTCTGTAGAGTTTAGTGACCTAGAATAAAGGGGGGCAAGAGTGGGTGATGTGGTGGTCTCTAGGGGCTGGAGGCAGCCACTGGAGCTAGTGAAAGAACACAGGCCTTGGAGCAAGGGAGAGCCGAGTTCAAATCCTGGCTCTGCCCCCAACTCACTGCGTGATCTCAGGCACACAACTCCCTTTTCCGAGCCTCACTTTCCCAATCTGGGAAAAGGGGAAGGCAGACATGCCTCTGCTTCTGGAAACTGACAAAACTCAGAAAAATTGGGTAAAGTGAAGTGTTGAAGCAATCACTTAATCGATGTAAGTTAGACAGAGGAATGAGAGGGGCACCCAGGGCAAGGAGAGATGAGATGGGTGAGAGAGACCACACCTTGTCCTGGATGTCCCTCAGTAGGGCAGCGTACTCGGAGGACATGGGGTCTGAGTTGCTGAGGTTCCGGTTGATGATGCGGAAATTTAGCTGGTACTCACTCTGAACAGATAAACTCTGGGGGGAATAGCCTAGGGCCATGAAAAGGAAGAAAACACAGGTGAAGATGCTCAGCTTCTAGCACGGAGGCATGGTATCACAGAGGGTCCCTGACTGCTGTCAGAATCAGCCAAAATCAGCCCCACACCCTGGCGGCTATGGGGGTTCCCAAATGGAAAGTCACCCAAAGAGGGGGAAATGGGAGTTTTACAGGAATTCTTCTTAGCTGAGCTTTTATGTTTGTGCTTATGAAGTTACCACTTCGTGGAATGCCTTTCCACCCTCTTCTTCCTGGAAAACTCCTATTCATGCTTCAGAAGCCCAAAGATATGGAACTCCTGGAGGGTAGGAACCCACCCATCTATCTTGTTCTAGTCGTGCCCCAGTGCCTAATACAAGTCTGGGCACATAACATTTTTCAGGAAGCCTCCTTGACTTGCCCCCTCCCCCATCTCTGCTCCCACAGCAACCAGTTATATAGTATTGCTGCAATTTTTGTGTCCCTAAGTAATCATTAGTTCACTTCACTCAGTTTTCAGGGACAGAAGCTTTGTCTTTTATCTCCATACCCACCCAGCACATGGTTTGGGACAGAATTGTCACACATACGTGTTTGTGAAATGAATGAATGGGAACTACAGCAGATAGCTACAAATGAGGGGCTGAGATTCTCAAATTTCATCTGTTCACTCACTCATTCATTCACTGAGTACTAAAATGTGCCAATATATTAAGAACCAGCACCACAGTAGACAAAACTTGATTTTGTAGAGTTAGATAATTAAACAAACAATTGCAGTGAAGTGTGGTAAGTGTTGGCATGGTGCACATCTAGGTATTATGGACCATGTACCAGGGTTTCTCATCTTCAGAACTACTGCTGTTTGGGGCTATTCTTGGTGGTGGGGTTCTCCTGTGTATTGAAGGATATTAGCAATAACTCAGCCTCTGTCTACTAGATGCCAGTAGCACCCTTTCCCAATTTCGATAATTAAAAATATCTTCATTGTCCAGTGTCTATGGGGGTGGGCAGAATTGTCCATGGGTGAGAATGACTGGCATAGAGGAACCTCAGAAGAACCCTGTCCCAAGAGATATCATGTGTCTGTATTTTGGTTTTGAATTAAAATTTATTACATTAATTTGGTTAAAGAATTTCATGTTATTTACCTGAAATAACAGGAAATACCTTCCCCATGGAGGTTGGGGACGGTATCTCCCAGCCAGACCTTGGACTGGTTTCTTAAAGAGGAAATAAATGGTCTCTGTAAATTCAAGTTCAGCATAAACACTCACCATTGACGAAGAGGCTGCCCCTGACCAGGGTGTAGGGGTTCATCTGGGTGACACTGTGGGTCAGCTGGCTTAGCTCCCAGTAAAGCCGTTCTCTGTCTAGCCCATGGTCCAAGGGGTCAGAGTGGTAGGTGCAGATGGCATCCACGCCGGTGGCTGCCCCATTCTTCTCAGACCTGGGGAGAGAGGGAGGTGGGGACTCTAGAGAGAGATCCTGAAACTTCTGGGTGTTGGGGCCAGAAAAGTGAAGAGGCAAATGTGAAGTCAGCGGGAAAAATGAAAAGGGGGTGGTCACCAAAAGTGCCCATTGCTGGCAAATGTTCAGAAAAGAGTCTTACCTGAGGGACATCAGTCTGCAACCTGAGTAGTAGGGGCCCAGACTGCTCTTCGTGAACAAGGATCTGAGCTGGAGAGGAAGGAGGGTGGGCAGGAGGGTTGGGTGAGGGGCTGGGTGAGATTCGCCCCACCAGGAGCTGCCAGGACCAGGGTCTCACCAGGTGCTGCAGGACCCTCTCGGTGGAGTTGAACGTGGCCAAGCCATTGCTCATGTTTGTTGAATACTGGAGGTTGGAGATGGTAAAGTTGAGTGTGAAGGTCTCCAGGTTATGCAACAGAACTGTAAGAAGAGAAGGGGAGAGATGGCTGTCACTGAGAGCTGGCCCGAGTCCAGATCACAGTCCTGCAATCATGATAATCTGTTGTCTTCTTTTCCAGGGGCACCCCACCCACCAGCGTGGTCAAGTCAAAGCCATCATATCCACTCAGTAGTATGAGTATTACTCACCTCACCTCCGCGCAATACCAGTTCCACATGTGGAATGACCCTCACACACCTCACCTCTCTCCAGCCCTCTCCTAGCCCAGGCCCAACCTTCTCTCACCTGGACCAATACCCCGGCAGAATCCCTTGGAGACCCTGTCTAAAAGACGTTCTCTACACTGACTACTAGAAGAAATGTTCTTAAATGAAAGTCTCACTATGGTCACCACTGTTCTATATCATCCATGACTCTCTATGGCCTTCAGCATTGACCTGGCCCTCAAGTTCCTTTCCAATCTGTTCTTGCCAATCTTTCAGTTCCATTTATCCACCTACTCCATCTTAAGCCTTATATCCAAGCAAACCAAATCCCTCTCAGTTCTCTACACTATGCTGTTTGTGCCTACTGACCCTTTGCTCATAGAATCCCCTCTGCCAAGGACTCCCCTCTCCAAGCCCTGTTAGCCCAGAGCACCCCTCCTCATGCTAAAGGCTCTGTGTGGGTGAAACACTCACCAGAAAGCTCTTCCCTTTCCATTTACACCAGATGCCTCTTCCCCAGACATCCCGCATTGTGTTATAATGGTCTGTTAACCTCACAAACCTGGGGCCTCCAGGAGGGGAGGCATTGAACTGAACTGTTGGTATAATCCTTGAGGTCAAGATGGTTACCCTAAAACCAGAGCTTCACACCCTAGCTTCCCAGTTCCTGTGTGACAATTGTCTGGTGGAGGTATAGGGCTGGAGAGCTTCTCTTAGGAAGGAAAGGGGGCCCCTCAAATACCTGTGGTTGCTTCCGGTTGCACAGGTGATGATGAAGTGGGCAGGGGTGAGGTGGCTGGCTCAGGAGCTGTGGGAAAGGCAGTCATCAGGGAGGGACAGAGCCCCCCCACCCCACCCCCCGGACACAAAGTGGGCAAAGTCCCCTCAGGCTCTCATGGGCTCCACGCACGTGCGTATCAACAACGGGAGTGAGGGAAGGGGTGACTGTGTGAGTAGAGGGGTGAGCAAAGCTGAAAAGGAAATGAACTCAGGGGAGTGAGAGCGGGTCAACGAGAGAGACTGAATGAGGGGACACAGCGGGGTGGGCAGGAAATGTGCAGCCACGTGGGACACCTGGGCGGGCAGGGGGAGAGTGAACAAACGAAGGGTCAAAGGGAAAGCAGGGCAGACAAAGACAAGGGAGAGAAGTTGGAGGGATGAAATGAAAAAAGGAGGGAAGGGCATAAGCAGGGAGGGACAAACAGGTCAGAAGGATGGGTGGACAGCTGGAGAGATGAATGGAAGGACAGAAAGAAGACAAACAGGTGACTAAGCAGAAAAATGGTGGGAGGGAGGGAGGGTCGGGGAGGGAAGAGCGGAGAGGGAGAAAAGGTGTCTGAAAGAAGGGATAACTGGGCTAATGGGGGAGCAGGTGACTAAAAGGTAAACAAAGGGCGGCTGGATGAGTGCATGGACAAATCTGGCCTAACCACTGAGCAGCCCCCGGGAGATTTTGTTGTCAGGAGGCATGGCCTCTAAGTCACTATCTGACCCCAACCCCTATCCCTGTGGGGAATTCTTGTTCAAATTTCTTATTCCAAACCAAAGGGATGTGGAGAATTTAGAAAGCCAATACCATGGATGCAGGTCCAAAAAGAGGCCAAGGACTCAGCATTCTCCCTCCCACTGACACCTTGGCCCCACTCAGGAGACCAGCCTGAGTTTGGGGCAAGTGCCTTTTGTCCGTGAGGAGAACAGTTTGGCTCAAGACCCATGGAGATTGAAACGGGCACGGGAGGCAAAGATACGTACTTGTAGGAGGCTCATCTGGGCCACGTTCATTATAACCTGGAAACAAACAATCACAAATAAGGGGAGGTGGCAGAACAATCCCAGGTATTCCGTGCGTTTGACCATGTGGGGCCCCTGCCCGGGTTCTTTTCCCTACGTGTACCAGTGAGCATCTGCGCATCTTCTAAGATGAGACTCAAATGTCATGTCCACTATAAAGACTTTCCTGATCTTTCCATTAAAAACAACCATTCCCTACCCACCTATCCAGCATGCCCCCAACAAGAGACTCTCACACATTTGTTCATACATTTATCCCCCCACATATCCGTATACGCCATGATCTTCCCTTCCACCCTCCCTCCCATCTATCCCTCCATCCCATGCTTATTTATTGAGGCTTACTACGTGCCAAGTTCCATTACATTTGGGGAATACTCTCAAACTACACCCACTTGGGCAAATTACTTAACCCTTCTAAGCCTCAGTTTATTCATCTGTAAAATAGGTTTAATCAAGGATCAACCTACAGGGTGGCTGGCCGGGGGAGAGAGAAGAACCGGTGTGGAGTAAGAGAGTCACACCTGAGTTTGTCTCAACTTTTCTCCTAGAGAACTGGTAAATGGGAACCCTCTGGAGTCAGGGGGTGGCCCCAGCGCAGTGGGCTAAGGACTGCTAACCATTGAGGTAGAGGCTGTCCTTATCCAGAGAGTAAGGGCCCAGCCAAGTGATGCCGTGGGTCTGCCAGCTCAGCTCACGGAACACCTGCTTGGCAGGCAGGCCTGGGCCGCCGGGGGGCTGGCGGTAGGTGCAGAGAAAGTCCACCCCGGTGTTGGCGCCGTTCCTCACAGACCTGGGGGAGAAGAGGTTCATCTCTGGGGGATGCAGTCACTCGGCCCCTCTCCACCTGGGGTCACTGCACACCCCAGATCCTGTGTTTCAGCCTGTTGAATCTTTCCCAGTTTCTCCACATGGCTACACTCTGTCACTTGGGATCTCTGCACTTGCAGTGACTTCTGTCTGGAAGTCTCTTCCTTCCTCTCCTTACCTGGGCAGTTTCCTGCTCACCTTTCAGGTCTCAACTTAGACACCTCCTCTTCCTCCAAGAATCCTCCCAGGAGGGTCAGGGATCGCTTCTGTTTCCCACCATGCCCTGTGATGCCCCCATCTCAACCCTGGTCACTGTTTGTGAGCATGTATTATTTGTCCCTGTTCCCACAAGACGGTGACTTCCAAGAGGTCAGGGAATGGGACAGTCTAGTTCATTGCTGTTGTGTTCAACCCCCAGCACTTAGCACATTGGCTGTTCCCTGTAAAAACCAAAGTCCTAATGAATTAATTAACAAAATGTGATATATACATGCAATGGAATATTATTCAGCCTTAAAAAGGAAGAAAATTCTGACATGCTACAACATGGATGAACCTTAAAAGACCTATGGTAATTGAAATAAGCATCACAAAAAAACAAATACTATATAATTCTATTCATATGAGGTACCTGGAGTGGTCAGGTTCATAGAGACAGAATGTAGAGTGGTGGGTGCCAAGATCCAGGGTGGAGAGAATGGGGAGTTGTTGTCTTGTGAATACAGAATTTAAGTTTTGCAAGTTCTGGAGATTGGTTTTACAGCAACGTGAATATACTTAACACTACCAAACTGTATACTTAAAAATGGTTCAGATGGTAAGTTTATGTTATGTGTATTTTACCACAATTACAAAAGATCAATTCCTTCAGGACTCTACATGGTGTAGACCCTGACAATATCTCAGATCTCATCCCCTCCCTCTTTCCCTTGTTCTCTCTCTGCTCCAGCCATACTGGCCTCCTTGCTGTTCAGTGAACTTGGCAAGTTCAATCCTACCACGGGACCTTTGCACATGCTGCCCTCTCTGCCTAGAACCGTTTTCATGGCCAAATCCTTCTTGCCAACTGGGCCACAGCTCAGATGTCGCCTCCTCAAGAGGCTCCCCTGTGCCCCTGGGTAGAGCTCCTCTCCCACTGCTCTCCTCTTGGGTATGCTTCGCATCACCTTATGGCACCTGAAAGCCCTTTACTTCAGCACCGACTCTCCCGATTCCTGTCTGTTTTCTCCACTAGATAAGGGCAGAGGCAGGGCCTGTCTTGTCGCTGTGGCACCTACCACCTTCCTCAGAGGAGCTGTACCATCATGTCAGTTGAATGAAAATACGAATTGAGAAGTCCTACGTAAATACCGACAGAACAAAGTCTGACCCGGAGGCGTGAGAACAATTGCCCAGTGGGTACAGAGTTTTTGCTTGGGGTGACGGAAAGTTTTGAAACTAGATGGTAATGATGGGTGTACAACATTGTGCGTGTAATTGATGCCACTGAATTGTGCACTTAAAGTGGTTTAAATGGATCCTTTTGTGTCTGTATGAATTTTATCACAATATAGCAAATTAATAATGCGATATTTTTTAAATGGATGTAGAAAAGGCCCTTCCAAGAGTAGCCTGCAACCAGGGGCAGCCCCCGCAGTCAGAAGTCCATGTCCTTTGCTGGTGGGCTATGGTGGGGGGTTTTCTCACCTTAGCGAGGTCACCTTGCAACCTGCATATCGGGGACCCAGGCTGCTCCTCCTGAACAAGCGGCTGAGCTGGAGGAAGGAGAGAGGCCATGTTGGTCAGAGGCGAGCAACAGTCCCCGTGGCGGGTCATGGCGAGGCGGGAGGGGTAAGCAGGCCTCTCACCAGGTGCTGCATGAGGGTGTCTGTGATGTTGAACGTGAGGGAGCCCGGATGGCCCATGTTCGCTGAGTAGCGCAGGTTGCTGATGGTGAAATTCAGCGTGAAAGGCTCCTCATGGACCTCCGCAGCTATGGTGGGTGCAGAGAAAGCCGAGGCTCGCAGGGAGGCGGGGGGGGGGCCCAGTGTCTGCTTAACAGTGGGGCTCCAGGGGGCCATGTCCTCCTCCTGATAAGCCTGAGGGTCACTTACTAATGGAGACAACTCCAGCAGAGAGCGGAGCAGGCTTAATGTGGGGGTAGCGAGATTGGTTATTTCTACCCAGATGCAAGAATGGAGGGCTCTGTGAACACACTTGGCTTTGTACTTTCCCAAGAGAAGTCTCCAACCTGCCACACTGATGAAGAACTGATGACCCTCGGTATTTTTATTCTCTCTGCTCCCATCTCTATCTTTGTCTCTCTGTGCCTCAGGCTTTCTCTCTTCCTTTCCACAGACAGACAGACAGACTGACAGAGAGAGAGAGAGAGAGAGAGAGATGATAGATATCTAAATCTATATTTATATCTATGATAATTGTTGGCTTTTTAAACTATTGCATAGAGAAGATGGCATACCTGTTGTAACGGCAGGAGACAGATCTATTTCTTTCTCATCTATCTTTCTATGTCATCTATCTATCTCTCTATCTATCTATTATCTATCTATCTATCTATCTATCTATCTATCTATCTATCTATCTATCTATCTATCTATCTATCATCTATCTATCATCTATCTA